TCATAAGTCATAAGTCTATAGGAACTTGATTGATGAGGGTGAATGCATTCCAATTTCAAGTCTTTTAGCACAAGGTCTCCGGCCAGAGGGGCTTTCAATATTTGTTGACACGTTCTTTAACACATGTGGCACATACCCCCAGGATTTTTTCCCAAAAAGCGCCCACATCGCCTGGTCTCGGTGGTTTTCCCGTGCCCAGTCAGACTGTAGACACCCGGTCTCCACCCGGTCTCCCCCCGGCGTCCACGTCACGAGGGACACCGTCCGGAGGTTGTATACCCAGTCTCCGCCGAAAAAGGACATGTTATGAGCCACCTAGCCATATCAACTCTGGTTTTTGACTAAAACATGTTAGCATAGACATCATAGACTATTATAACTAGGGTGTGGCCCAATACCAGTAACAGTCATAAGATTATCTCTATTTTTCTAGATTCAACTGAACCATCATCATCCACTGGGCCCCGGTAATGGGATATAGACTCCAAAAGAAACACACACACCACATCCCCCTACCATCATTCGCAACAATCATCACATCCCGCACCGCCACCTTCGTCTCCGCCACCTTCACTGCCTCTTCACCTCTTCACCGTGGCGCCACAGATGACCCATTTTCGCCCCCTGCCACGTCGTTTACCACGTCTCGACCTCGCCGTCCGGGTCCCCACGGGCCGCCGGGACCTCGGTCACCGGAGGATCCTGGGCGCCGGCTTTTCGCTCTTCGCCGCCTTGGGCACCTCGATCTACCAGGCGGACCGGCCCTTCGACCGCTGCGGAGCGGGCGAAGGGACGTCGGTGGAGTGAAGCGTTCTGGGTAGAGGATGGGGGGCATCATAGGTTGCTTGTGAGAGGGGCTTCAGGCATGTTTTACTATCATCTGTTGCCGCTGGCTCGGATGTGCACCAAAATATCATTTGCTAGAGATGCAATGTCTTGCGGCCTCAATCTTTACCATGGCACAAGACCTTTGAACAACAATGCAGGTTGCCGCTGTGTCTGGCAAGACAGTTGCTCAGCTTGATGAAGATGAGTTGCATTGCATGGTGGAAAGTTGCAAAACTGTCCGGGACCTAAAGCGACTTCTTTCAGTGCAGGTTGGGTGCTCAAGGTTTCAGCAAAGACTTGTGAGTGACGAAATTGGCGAATTGCAGGACTACATGCCTTTGAGACCACTGCCAAGCGTACAGCTGATAGTTCTGCCCTTTTGTGTTCTTGATGAGATTACTGAGGAAGAATTAGTCCACTACTGTCGGGAGGATCGCGTGACTCATGTTGAAAGACTGCTTCAGAAACCGTACAAACCGAAAGGGAAGGCTTTGTTGGTGGCAGCCCGGGAAGGCCACTTGGAAATTGTGCGACTGTTGCTCGAGGCTGGAGCTGACAAAGATGCAGCAACGACGACAGATGGGGCAACCGCTTTGTTGCTGGCAGCCTTCCAGGGCCACTTGGAAGTTGTGCGACTGTTGCTTGAGGCTGGAGCTGACAAAGATTCAGCAACGACAGATGGGGCAACCGCTTTGTTGGTGGCAGACCGGGAAGGTCACTTGGAAATTGTGCGACTGTTGCTCGAGGCTGGAGCTGACAAAGATGCAGCAACGACAGATGGGGCAACCGCTTTGTTGCTGGCAGCCTTCCAGGGCCACTTGGAAGTTGTGCGACTGTTGCTCGAGGCTGGAGCTGACAAAGATTCAGCAATGACAGATGGGGCAACGCCATTGTACAGTTGGTTGCAAAATCGACAACGACGTGATTCTGCTATTGGCCGTGAGCTGAATTTGCAGTACTCCGAGCATATAGGGTCATTGCTCAAAGGGCTTGTCAAACGGGTGTCCCGGGGAGGCGGCGGCCGTTTTAGTGGGGGGCATGTCCACTCCTGCTACTGTCCATGCTGCTGTCCGTCCTCAGCATTGTCCATATTGCCATGAGCCCGTGGTCCCTTCCATCGATCATGTGCTGTGGGTCTGCCGGCTTTTCGCTGCGCTGCGGGTGCTACCGCGTCCGGTTTCCGACTTTACTGCACGTTTAGGGTGGGGCCCTGGGATGACTCTCGACTCTTGTTTGGACCTTCTTCAACAAATGGGAAACATCCGACACGAAGAGCACACGTTACGGCGTAGAACCCTGCAGGCAGCTTGTACTCTCCCTGAGGACTCTGCCTAGCGAGTGGCTTTGCGTGTCCTTAACCCGCGACAGGTTGGGACACTCGCAGCGCTACCCCCCCATGGCAGCCCTGAAAGGTCACTTGGAAGTTGTGCGACTGTTGCTTGAGGCTGGAGCTGACAAAGATTCAGCAACGACAGATGGGGCAACCGCTTTGTTGGAGGCAGCCATGGCAGGCCACTTGGAAGTTGTGCGACTGTTGCTCGAGACTGGTGCTTACAAAGATGGAGCAACGACACATGCGGCAATGGTGTTGTTTGTTGCAGCCAAGGGAGGTCGCTTCGAAGTTGCTCGGGCTGGAAGTGCAGCCCTGACCAGCCAAGTTTTGTGGTTGTTGCAGATGGGGCAAGGGCGTTGTCTATGGCAGCCCAGAACGGCCACTTGGAGGTTGGGCGATTGTTGCTCCGGGCTGGAGCTGGCAAATTGCTTTAGGGCAGCCACGCAGCCCACAAGTGCCCAGATAGGATTGGGATAGAGAGCCAGCTACAGTTTCATCCAAAATATGTTTTATGCTGTTTTGTTGGTGGTGGTATTTGTTTTGATTTTGTGTTGTTAGTCCATTTTGCATAACCAGACCCTCCGTGTAATTTGCCTGCATTGGGGTGGTTTGTGGGGTCCATGTAGGCATATAATTAGATATATTCCATATGTGGAGGGTTTGGGTTTTACAAAAGCATACCTATACGTACAATATTGTCTAACGAGGATAGGGAAGATTCAAAGCCACCCAGGTCGGATAGGTAAGATTCACCCCAAGAAGTTTGAGGGCGGCTTCGCGGAGTCCGGCGACATGTTGGTGGTCATTCACTGCACAGAAATTGCCATTCAGTGAGAACCACCGGTGTATGGTATTCCGAGTCTTCGGGGCTATTGTCCATGCACTTACAACCATGTCTTTAGGGAGTGTACCATGAACCAGTCGAATTGGTCCGTGCCGTTTTGAGGTCTACTTCAAACGGGTCTTCGGTGATACCATGAAGCCTGAGGAGGCCGGGGTCAAAGAGCTCGCCAGGAAATTGGTGACGTGAGAGTGGCGGAAGTGTTCTGGGGCCTGGTGAGGAATCATCCAACAGAGTTTGAAGATCCCTAGCTCGACTATCCCAGGTGGGTACCCAAGACATCCCGGGCCCGATATATCAGGTCACAAAACTTAAGATAACTTAAGCCCTCTCTTGGTTTGAACATATCAGGAGTTTCATGCCAGGGTGCCGAGTGCTGGAAAGGTGCCGGGGCGCCCCTGTCACCTCCACTACTGGACGGGCCAACAGCGACTCCGACGTGGAACCACTGGTAGAAGGATTTCCTTAACTTACCTCGCTGAAGAGGACCACATGGACCCGCTAGAGGAAAACATATCGGACTCAGGGTGTCATTCTTGGATATTCCTAGTTTTGGGGAGTGTCATTGTAATGATTGTTGATTATATGTATAGCGCTGTTCAATAAAACTCCCCATGTGGAGATGTGAAACCATTCTGTATTGATCAACAGTCGACATTGAGGTTTTGCTTTACTTTTTTGATGTTGTTGCATCCCAGTGTCCGAACAGTTCTAGGAGATTGGATGGAGTTCTTTCCATCCGAAATGATCCATGTCCATTTAGGTTCATGCTGCATCATCCAAAAGGATTCTGCCCTTGCCACGGTCCATGCCCTGTGCTGTGGGTACTGGATGTCACAGGGCACTGGATGAGTTTCCACACCTGCCAGGTGAGGGTTATTACATTATGTTACAATTTATCAAAGCTCTCCTCCTCCTCTTCTCCTCTCCTCCTTGACTGCCGCACCTCAACTGCAAGTGCCAGATCGCAGTGGGCCACAAACACACAACCGCGAACACACAACCACAGCCACAAGCACAACCAGTCACAACACACAACCAAAGCACACAACCACAAACACAGAAGCCACAAGCACAACTACAAACACACAACCACAGCACACAACCACAACACACAACCACAGCACACGACCACCGCGTACAACCACAACACACTTCCACGACACTCAAACACAAAGCACAATCAAAAACACACAAGTACAACAGTACAAGTACCGTGCAGGTGGTCACAGGGTATCACTTTTGGATGCCACCTGGAGACCCTGGCAACGCTCCAACGCGAACTCCCCAACACTAACGTAACAACCCCGAGCAAGCGTGAGGGACCCACAAGTAAAATCGAAAACCACAAAAGCTCACGACCATGGTAACGTGCTCCTCACCATGGCATGAAAACAAAGGATTGACATGTCATGGCGGGGATCACTCGAAGTTAACGGGTTCCCCGGTGAGGTTGCTTCGAGGCCAGTTGGATGAACTCAGGCCCAATCTGGTTGAAGTGGAATCGTTCAGAATCGAGAAGTCTTTCGGCCAAACGACATGTTTGTTCTTTTGGCCTTTTTGGTGGAATGAAACTTACCGAACTTTCAGGAGGGCAAGGAAAATTGTGAAAGTCGCTTTGATTCCAGCAGTGGAAAGAGTTGTTCCAGGCACACTCTTGCCGTTTCTCTTTCTCTTGCCAAACGACAAAACTGTGAAGATTTGTGAAGCTATCGAACACTTAAAGATATAGTTATGCACAATATGGACATGTCATAGTATGCGTCAACATAGGGAGGCCACAGGTAGAAACCAAGAGGGAAGATCGAGTATCTAGCTCTGAAAACAGGGGGGTTCTCCCCAAGTTGAGACTGCACCTTGGGAGCCGTCGTGAGTCTTCTGACATATCATCATGTAGACTGTTGATCAATGACCCCCCAAATCTGAAGATGCAAAGCAATCAGGGGGTCTTATTAATCAGCAGTTTAGTACTTGTAAATTTCTTTGGGAAGTCAGCAAACGTCATCAGTATGATCATGCAGTTTGCCTCGCTCTGCCGGCGTTTCTCAAAAGGACAAACGCCAAAACCTTTGTGCAGGGAAACAAACAAAAAACTAACAACACATGAAACAGTTATAGGGTTCCCAAAATTCCAAGATCCAGACTTGGGAAAGGACTGAAAGGACCTGCTGGACCACCCATTGTCATCGACTTAGCTTGCCATTCAGAATGGTTCAGTCGATGGATCATCCTCACTTGGACATGTTGGTTTCAGGTTACAAGCGTCCAAAGACTCTATTGAGTCAATCCACCACAATAGCGATTCAGTGATTCCAAGAGAGGTTAAGTGACCTGAAAATGAACCAGTAACCTGGGTTACCTATGGGATAGTATATGTATATATAGGCTATAGGGTTCTTCAACCTTTGTTGGCTCTGCAAAGTAAGAAACATCACATATCGCAGTGTCAACAGCAGAAGAACCTCCAGCTCACCTAGCCAAGAAAAACAATACCCATCTGTGAAGTAAAAGCTGCGAACATGTAGTGGAAGAAGGGGAAGACACCATGCACATCCTACCCAAAGACATCCCAAGAAAGACGAACTCTACGACTTCGGGATCCATGGCATGTTGAGGCGCCGTGGGAACCCCGGGAGACGGTTTGCATCGGTGCAGTTCTGTGGACGTGTTTGGCCCCAGACACTGTTTTGGACCGGCCTAGATTGGTGTGGTTGATTTCAGGGGGTCTTTCTGGTGGCATATCATGATCAGTATGCCAAAACATGCACAAAAACATTCGTCACCGTCCGGAGTCGGTCCTTTCCCGCCTCCCGTGATGAAAGGGTCTGCATGACCCACTGACCGCGCCTTCCCGGGCGGTCCGTTCTGAGGTCCGTTCAGGGGGGACCTGCAGGGTCCGATTGGTCACTACAGGGTCCGATGCCTGAAAACGGGAAAACACATATATGGGATCACCATGGGAAGCGAATTGAGACCAATGTGGTCAAAGATTCCCAAGTGGCAGGGCATATTGAGAATTTGCTTGGCACAATGGGGAAGCTAGCCAGTACCATGGAGAAAGTAGTGAGCTCCTTCGTTGGGCATAAGAATTTCATGCACCAGCTTTCGGTACAGAGCGAGCCAGCTGTGGCTCAGATCAAGAAATGCAGCCATTATTTGAATTGGCGCTGTCTAAAGGGCCGGACGAAGTGCGAAGTAGCAGCTACCAAAGCATTAAAAAAAGGATTGTACGGATCCAGGGTGATTGGAGATATTGGACACGCGTTGACTTAGGCTTGGCTGGTCCAAGTACCTTATAGAAAGTATGTGGTTTTCTACATAAATATATTGTACCTGCAATGATGTTGATGAGTGTAGTCACACTGCCAAGTATTGCCAGAACGGTTAGGAATCGATGGTCTTTGTGCGTGTTGTTTCTGCCAAAGACGCCTGGTGTGACTCGTCGCCCTGTCGGCAGAGTTGGGGCCGACGCAGGACGTGGGAAAGCAACCGCCTTGGCCGGCCTCAACGGTTGGATTCCTTGGAGTTGGACCAATTTAAACCCCCTCAACGACAAAAACATCAGCTTGAACTTTACCATTTCCATGGTCAAAACTTTTAAGTTCCTCAAAGCGTGCGAGTTTGTGGTCTCCTTCTGGTCCCCTCGCCTCCCTCGCACGGACCTCGCGACGCCGCGCCACCCGCAACACCTTCCAGTCGATGCCGCTGCGTGGCGCTGGCGTGCCCTCAACACCTGAGTGGGGACACCCAGGGCCTTGTTGATCGAAACCAACCGAGAATGAGACCCGAGACCGGGCCCGAAGCCTTTGGAACAGTCGGGCCCGAACCCCATGGGGTCCGGGGTCGGAGGGGTCTGGGGTCTCAGCAATTCCGTTTTGAGGGACCCAGTTGGGCGTGTTTCACGGAGCGTTTGGGTGATAGGACCTGGGATGGGAGAGGGGTACTCAACTGGGAATGGTTCATATCAATAGGGCTTTGACAAAAACCTTTGGTTGGGCCTTAGAAGTCCACCATGTGCGCCGTGATTGGTGGCATAACGCTTCATAACGCTTCATGCTTATATTGCTCTATACTGTAACCACTCTGCAAGAGTAACAAACACCTCTCCAAGACGTGGTGAGAAAAATACAAAAAACAACGCATGGGCCATCTTCGCCGCGTCGCTCGACGACCGGTCCAGGTGTCGCTCGAGCACCTCGCTCCAGGTGCTATCTCGGCGGACGGATACGGCGCGCCGACACACGGCGCGGCAGAGAAGCGCTTGAAGGGCTTGAAGCGTGTTCTGTGATTTCCTCTTTCATTCCCCGAACCTAAGAACCCCCGTCGCACGTGACGTGTAGAACACGCGCAGGTGCGCTTCCGGAAGTCTGGGAGCCTCCCCAGGCGGGCGGTGAGCATCGCCACACGTGACCCGGGTGCCGAAAACTATGGTTTGAACGGCCACACATGATGAGACTCGGAGCCAAGTGGAGACTTGGTCACCACTGAAAAAGAACAGCATGTTATTTGAATAAATAAAACACCCGCCAGTTTGGAGATGTCAAATCCATGTATACTATGCCCGTTCTGCTCGTGGGCGTCAATCTATGACCCGTAGTCTTCGGTGGTTGCGGTGTCGCCCATTCCTGGTGCTTTGCCGTCTCGCCCTTTTTGTTCGCCCGGCCGCCAGATACCACAACGCTCTTCATCGATGGAGACAACATCTCGCCCCAGGCATTGCGGCCCATCCTGCAGGCGGCCCGGCCCGGGCTCGCAGCCGGCGAGGTGGCTCCTTTTGGAATGGAAGAAATCACAGACCTCAGGCCCTCAGGATTAACATCCAAAAGCTGCTGTGTGGTGTTCAAACAGCAACCAGGGTCCCAGTGTCTTTTAATTGTTGTTCCGTGGACTTGTTGGTGCTTCACGAAAGCAACTTGACTATTGGGCAAGACATGGCAAGACATTTCAAGCACCAGGGCCTTCAATTCGTGACCTTGTGAGATCCCAGGATATCCCAGGATGTTCGGTCACTTCTATCGTCCTGGAAGAAGTCACTTTGTGTTAGAGACTCTGAGTCTTTTTAAGGTCACAAACTTGAAGGTGGTACCTGGAGTTTCTCCTCAGCAACTGAAAAAGAAATCACTTGGTCGCTACCAGGTCCTGGCCACCAT